CCCCCACCCCCAAGGCGGAGCCCGCACCCTTCCTCCTTTCCAGGTGGAGATGGAGGCGACACTTCTGCGGGTGTTCTCATTTCCTGCTCTGCGGCTCAGGCACCCCTCACCACCCACTCTGTGGTCTGGCTTGCCTACTTTGGGCAGGCTGTCAGAGGGGCCACCCGCTGGAGGAGAGCATCCTGCCTGGTGGGATAGAGGGCCCAGTGAGGGGAGGGAGGCAGTCAGTGAGAGGGACAGACGCCATGGCTGCAGCCATGGACTTGAATCTGCTGGGGCGTGTAAGGCTGATGCAGGATCCGGCTGGACGCTTCTGGGGTACCTACGGTCATCCTGAGTCAGAGCTGACGCAAGAGCAGCTGAGCACGACACCAGGTAGGTTCCCGTGCTGTGGTTAGATGCCATCTGGTTCTATCTAACTGGTTCCAGCTCATAGCCACCCCCTACCTACAGCAGGACGAAAGCCCACGAAGCCCTGCTTGCTCGTACCACCTTCACACGGTTGCCAGGTCTGAGCCCGCTGCTGCAGCCACCATCTGGCTGAGGGTCTGCCTCTTTTTCGCCGCCCCTCTAACTCCACGGAGCATGACGTCCTTTTCCTGGCATGGCTCAGTCCTGATCCCATGTTCAACGTGTGTGAGACCAAGTGTCAGGAGCATTCTGGGTGCCCTCCTCCGAGACGGATCTGCTCGTTCACTTGGCAGTCCACGGAGGGTGCTTTCAATAGTCTTCGCCAGCATCACGCTCCCGAGGCATCCATTCCTCTTCGGTCTTCCTTGTTCAGTGTCCCACTTCCACACACCGAGGAGTCGAGTGGAAACACCACGGCTTGGGTCAGATGCACCTTCGTCTTCATAGTAACATCCTTACTTCTCAGCACTCCAAAGAGGCCTTGTGCAGGGTTCCCCAATTCTGCCTTCTCTTTCTCCCTCGGAGAGGCTGATGGTTTCAAACTGCTGACCTCGAGGTTAGCAGCCCAGCACATAACCATTACGCCACCACACATCCTTGGTTCTGATGATACCTCCCATATCTATCTAGCTATCCTTCCAGTGACTCCTGCCTTTGCCTGAACACTGGCTGTCAAACTTGTAAGGATCATGTGCTAGCTAGCTATGCCCAGCCACTAGCCACTGCCTCCGAGTCCATTCTGAATGATTGCAACCCGGCCTAGGGTTTCTGAGGCGGTAAATCATTAGGAGAGCAGACAGTCTCATTTTGCTCCTCAGGACCGCTTGATGGGTTTGAGCCACTGACCTGGTAGAGAGCAGTCCAATGCTCACCAGGGCTCTGGAGGAATTTAAAGACGAAGCCTGTGGGTTCTTAGAAGGTTAGGCCCATGGCTGGTAGGTAGGTGAGTGCTAGAAGGGGCTCATCCAAAGATAAGCCCATGGGTGCCCCTCATTTAAATAGAGAACCTCCCAATCCAGGTCCACCCTACTGGGCCTGCTAGGATGACCTGTTTTCAAGCTACGAACAGCTGGAATTACCTGTTCTAAACATCTGGCACTACCTGCCTGCTTAGTCACCTTCCTTCTGGCTTCAAACAGCTGTAGGGCCCCACCTCCTCCCGCCTCCTGCCACCCTGGGGTCCCTCCCTCCCCTTCTCCTTTCTGAAAGGAGGTGGCAGCACCAGCTTCACCAGCCCTGACGTCCTTAAAAGGATCAGCCTGGGGAAGAAGGCTCATTTGAGAGCCGTGGCATCCACCTGGACTCCAGGGAACACCCTACAGCCGACGCCCCCTTGGCCTCCAATTGAGCACCATGAGGGCCTGTGTCCCCCTGCTAGTGGCCCTGCTCTGTGGCTTGGCCTGGGCTGGTAAGTCATTGGATGGTGGGAAGGGGAGAAAGGATGGCAGAGGCTGGCACAAAGAGTCAGAGGGCTAGGAAACTTGGCGGGGTGGTGATGGTGGGGGTGTGTGTGTGTGAGGGCAATGGAAGAGGAGTCAGCTCCGTCCTCGTGTGCGAGTGCAGGCGTTGTCTCTGGAGTGGACTGTAAGGGGAGGTCCACGGCTGATGGACTGATTTCCCCGGAAGTCCCTCTGCGCACTTGGGAGGGACACCCCAAACATCCTTTAGTCTTCCCTGACCTTTGGTCTACCCTCAGTTTTGTTTTCCGGAGCCACTGCATGGTGTGAAGCTGGGACCGGCTGCTGGGTCTGAGGGGCCCAGGTGTACTTAGTACTCCCTGTACTGCCTGGCGACAGGAGGTCACCTAAGGGCATCTTTCTCTGAGAGATGCCTCAGGAGGTGGGCAGGCTCAGGAGGAGACCAGAAAGGTCCCTGGCTGGGAGGTGGTCAGAAGACTTGGTCTTCGAGCCAGTGTTAGGTCAACTAAACGACAGAGAAGGGGTGTGGCCCACAGACGAGAGGCGGGAGGGAGCTGCGGAAGAGTGGCTTTCCTGCTTATTATTGTGCAAAATGTTGACCCTGATGTGCTCCTTGGTGTCGGGCCTGAACGAGTGCCAGGGGGGCGGACTGCGCTGAGGTGGCGTTGGGAAAATGCTCTTCTCCCCCAGAGGAGAAAGAATCAGAGCCGGATGCTCACTCCGCCCACCCAGGCTGTTCCTCCGCAGGTCGGCCCCGAGGGTTACATAGATAATGCTGGAGAAGCCCCAAGCATGGAGTCAACGTCCAATGAGTTAGACCTCTGATTAGAATCGTGATGATAAATGATCCTGGGAGAAACGTGGGGCCATTTTCCCAATCAGGTTGTGGAAAATGAGATCCCCCTGGTACAACCGGCTTGAGCTTGGCCACCATTGACTGCAAGGTTGGTCATTCCAACCCACCCAGGGCACCGTGAAGAAAGACCTGGCGGCCTGCTTCAATGAAGATTTCAGTCTGTAACCCAAGGGTTACTATGAGTCGGAGTTGACTCTGCGGCAATGGGTTGAGTTTTCCTCTCTGGTTAATGAGATTCTTAAAGGAAAGCCCCTGGAGGGGAAAGCTATTCCCAGGCCCGTGAACGCTGGATGAGACGGGGTACCTCCACCTGGCCCCCAGTGCCAGTAGCCAGCTCTGCTTGGGCCTTGAGTAGCGCGGAGGTGGTAGCAGAGAGGAAGGGAGCATGCAGGAGGGTTCAGCTGCAGAACTGCTGAGCTGCAGAAAGGAGTACACACCAGCCAGGGCTAGCGTGGAGGGGAGGCCCTTGGGCCAGCGGGAGAGGAGGGCAGCAGCAGACAGCTGAGCCTGAGCGTGGGGCTGTCCCCCAGGGCACAGGCAGCCGCCGCCCATCTCAAGTTCAGGCTGAGTTCTTGCAGCTGCCTGTGTGAGCGGCTGAATCAAGGCTCCAGTGGGTGCTACTGCCTTCTTCCCTACGGTGGGAGAGAGGAGGGGTTCCCCTTGTCTCTTCGATCCCAACGAGGCAAACCCAGGAATCGAGTGAGGAGTCACCACCAGGCTCAGCTCCTCCTTTATTAGTTGGGGGATACAAGCCTCATGGTTCTAACTGGATGGAGCAGGAAGCCAGTCCTGGAGATGAAACTTTTAGGGCAACTAGGACTCCAAGGGGAGACCAGCATTGGGAGCCCCTAGCGAGGCAGGTGTAGGATGCCCAAACCATCCGAGGGGTGGGTGGGGTGGCACATGGGGACACCGTAACCCCCAGGCTTGGAATCAGGCTCTCACGATGGGCAGCTTGGATAAGGAGCGCACGCATTGTGGGTTGTTGAGGTCTCCGGGCGTGCAGAGCAAT